CAACAGCAATATCGTAAAATAATTTTAAATTGAGCATATGTTTAGAATTTACGATACACACTCTCACGCACTGGAGATAAAAATGTTTTTTCTTTACAACGTTGACACTGCTCGCTTTGAAATCCTTGAGTTTGTTAATAAAAAATTCGTTAAAGTTTTACAAAATATGAAATTGATAATAAAACAACGTCCAAATTTCAAATTTGAGCTTCCAGATGCCTATATTCGCAATAGGATTACGTCATTCAAAATTTGATGGCTCTAGGTACCGTTGTTTTATCACAATGCGAGAAACATACGTGCATTTATGCAGATTCTTCTATATTTAATTTCTTCAAATATAATGCAGGGCGATAATATTTTGTGGCAACAGTTTGAAAAGTGAAACGGACATTCAGTGATTCGACGCAAAATTGCAAAACGAAAACAATAGTCGCTCAGGGACAAAGTCCCTTTGAACTAATAAAATCATCTGATAATTATAATTTAATTTTCAATTAATAATTATTGCCCTTTTATTATTAATAACATATAGCATACTTATTAAGTAGCTATATGTTATTAATAATAAAAGGGGTCCATACTAATATTATTAAACTGCTTAATAATACATAAAAAAAAGCACTTTTTGCGTCCTATATAAATTATCCGCATTTTGGTACCGTATAAATCCATGTAGATATTTGGTAACTACTGACTTAAGTAAAGAGCGGATAAGTGCTCTTTCTATAGCTCCATTCTAGTTTTTATTGAAAGCACCGTGCAAAATTATGAAGAGAAATATCAGGCAAGAAATTTTTCATTTCTTTCTTGATATATTGATATTCAGCAGGACCTAAAAATAGCTTTCTTTTAAAAAATATCTCCCTTATGATCTGTTTAATTTTCCTTTCGTAATTAACGCCATTGTCCTCATTCTTGATCACATCTGAGACGATACCAGTTTAAGAACGTTGGTCAATTATTAACAAAACGAGATGCTGGCAGGAACAAGAATAAATAACTGCAAGATAGAGTGATCGGAATAAGTGGAAAATTACAAAAGTAAAAACTGCAAAAGAAATAAAAAGTGAGAAAAATAATAGAACAGATGCGGTATACATTAAAAGCATCCTGGAAATGAAATAAGCCGTTGCAATCAGAAAACTTAAGAAATAAGCTTAATTATAGAAAAATGTCTGAATACAGAGGCGAGAAAATGGATTAAAAATTAAATAATAATAATAATATGTGAAATTAAGTGAAATATTAGAATAATTAGTGGAGGTATTAGAATTCAGCGAATGAAATGAGTAATTACGAAAGGAAAATATTAATAATTATTAGAGAAATCTTGAACGTGTGAGAAGTTCGAAATAAGACTTAAAAAAAAATTGTGAAAGAAAATGATAATACTCCCCAAAACTGGCAAAGAAATTTTCAGTAGTATCCAAAATTTATAATTAAAATAATCGAATAAAACGAAGATCATGCTAGTGAAATGGAGAATAAAAGTCAACAGTTAAGGGAAAGTATCACTAAAAAAGACTAAAAGATTTTCTCACATTTTCTTAACAAATTACCCGTACAGCACACTCAGTTGCCGTGACGTTACGGACTTGGATTCTGTTCCCACGGGCAGGAAGTTTTAAAAGTTGTAAACTCCTATAGCTATTTGAAAAACAAAAACCAACAACAACACACACACACACACACACCACACACAAAAAAAAAAAAAAAAAAAAAAAACCCTCGAGCCGTTAGACCTTTGCGTTTTTGAAATAAACACTTTGGTCAATCAATATACAAACTTGATGAAAGCACACTTACACAAACTTTATTGTAATGTCATATTTTAACTATTTTCAACATTTTAGCTAGGGAAATAGTTTCTAATATAGGTTTAGTTATTTGATTCTACATTCATTCATTTGCAGATCCCGTTTCTATATGCCCGCAACGCACAACACATGCCTTTGATTTAATTCTTTCTTTTATTTTTAAATTTCAGAAAAACTCGTTAGGTTTTTGGAGGCATTAATACCGTTATAAGAAGTAAGAAAACCTCGATAAGTTACATCAAAATGGTGAAAGAAAATTAAATCAAATTTCTTAAAAGTAATTGATAGCTGTAATATTAGTGGGGATTGCTTCTGTGAGAAGAAGGGGGGGGGAAAACAGATACGAACAAACAAAAAGAAAAAATATTACATCAAAAATTATTTTAACCAGTGGATAAGCAAAAATTCGTGTTCTATGACCATAATAATACAGAAAACATAATTAATTATGAATAGTGTATGAAGTAAATGATGTTTAAGCCTGGCAACTTTGAATATAACTTCGATCTCTACAGTTTTCAAGATAGAATGATCTGCTTGGGGATGTAACGCGTATTCTTAGCTATCATAAAATGTACGCGACGTTGAAGACTTTGGTGGCATTATCAAGACCTTTAAAGTACTACAAAGTCAGTAAAAGGGTGTATAAAACCCTTTATTAATTCAAATAAAGTTTAACAGTCGGCACGAATTCGTGCTTACAAAAGCTAGAACTTTTGGCTTAAATCAAAAGTTAATGAATAACTTTAAAACTGATGAATTAGAAGAATAGCCTAGCGGCTTAACAGTTTAACTATCGCGCAAGTTGGCTGTGACTCGAAGTCGGCGTAAACAAACTTAATGGCAAGAATAACTTAACGCCGCAGAATTCTAATCCGAAATAATACTCTTAGCGTATGTAAACTGATTAGAAGTATCAGCGTTGTTTATTATTTATAAAAAAAAATCCTAAAAGCCGTAGAATTACATTTTTGGAATATGGAACTTGCACCCCGGTATTGTTCTCTCTTAATTCAGTGCCTTTCTTTTAATTCAGGCGCTCCTTGATTTCTCCCGTGAATAACATTATTACAAGACAGTTTCCCTCAAAAAGTCCTTCATGAAGTTAATTTACCTACCTAGTCATCAATTAACTTATTCTTTTCATGTAAAGCTGTAATTAAAATGATACTAATCTTACGACATTAGTAAGAAACGGTTCTTAAAAATACTTGTTTTTGCGTTTAGATTGAGGTGAATTCAGCCTAATAATCTCTTATTGATTTAGCTTCAACTGTTTGAATCACAGTTCTGCGAGTACCTTCAACTTGAGTGGCTACTTCTCTCCGGGCATAGACTAATAAGCAGATATGGAGTAATCTCTCCAGTATGGAGAATTCTACATTAACTGCTTAGATATTCATTATACTCCTTTCTTGCTTCTTTTGCTGTTTACAAAATGTTGTGCATCGAGAAATTTTTTTTCACTTCAGCGCAAATTTTACTGTGCGTGTTCGCTGTAAGACCACGAACGATCATATATGGCGTAAAATACGATCTTTTTTTAATATAAAGTAATATTTCTTCATTGCCTAACACGCTGACCAGTGGTCTAACGGCTGCAGCTATGGAACACTGCAAATTCGCCCCGTATTCTGTTCTGGAATATTCTGACTGAGTGAGATTTTTGTGGTTTTCCTCGTGTTTAACTTAATAAAATATGTCCTGTTTCTTGTAGAATGCTTTTCACAAAACCATTCCTTCCTTGGATAAAGAGCGTGAGTCACTAAATGCTAGTGTTTCCGAAATATTATTACTCTGTAATTGACTCGTTCATTCCTACTTACTACCTAGGGCAGGGATGGCACGCGGACCAAATCTGGCCCGCCGTAAGGATCTATCCGGCCCTCGAATAGAATTTTAATTTGCCGGTCCGAGGCAAATTAAAAGAAATATATATTTATATAGCCATCTCCTTTTCTACTTTGTTTAAATATTATTTTTTCCTTTCTTTTTTCAAAGGACTGATGATCTTCCTACTTTCTCTATTTTTGTTCTACAAAACATAAATTGGCGGAAATAGCAAGCACAGACAGCTTTCAATCGGTAAAGTGTTAACAGCGGAAGTTCTTTGCTAGTTATATCTGTAGATTGGCGCCAACAAGCGTTATCTCTTTCTCGGGAGCAGACATATGGGAATCCAATTATAGGTGAATTAGACCTCTTAGGAAAACTTCATTATCTTAACTTAAAATTTAATAAAAGTTAATGTGTTTGGTGGGAAGCTAGCTAGTCTCATTTCTTGAGGTTAAATTCAATACCCTGAGTAAATGAAGAGAAGCTTAAGAATTATGAAGATGGCTTGAAAAAAACTTCATTTTGAGTTCGAACGCAGATTTCAGTGCCATTCAAACAGAATTGGATATTTTTACCATGGCTTTCAACGTAAATTGTGAAGCAGTGAGATCATATTTGCAGCTTGAATTAATTGATTTGCAAACTAACAATCTTCTCAAGCAGTTGTTTCTAAATATGCCAAAGTTAGAGTTTTACAAATCATTATCGAAAGTATGTTTCCCAAATTTAATATCTCACGCCCAGAAAATCAGTGCTATGTTTGCTTCATCTTAGATATGTGAACAAGTGTTTTCAACGATAAACCTTAGAAAGAATTATTTCAGAAGTAGACTGACAGATGAGCATTTAGCCTCATTCCTTAGAATCAGCACATCTCACTTCGAACCTCAGTATAAGGAACTTTTAAAAATTAAATCTCAGTTTCATTTAGCTCATTAACATAGTTCAATTGTAATACTTGTATATTGTTTTAACATTTTAGAAAAATTTATCTTGGCCCGCCAAACTTTTTTTTTTTTTTTTTCGATTTTTAGCCCGTGAACGAAAATGTTTGCCCATCCCTGACCTAGGGGATCTTATTTGTGCTTATTATGTGTTATTTTGTTTATTTAAATTCAGCACTTGAATCTTATTATAGCTTATCTCTGATAATGGAGTTTAGTAAGAGATCGATGACAGGTAATTAGTGTTGTATTTCGCTGTGATTGAAGATCTGAAAGATCGGAAAGCATTGAAACACATAATTTTTATTAATTTCGAAATAAATCAAAAGCGAATAACATATGTATGTTAACAAAAACCTTATTTATGACATTAGTTTTGTCTTTATTTTTATTATCCTAGGTCGTCATTATGGAGCTGTTAGTTGTGAAGGATGTAAAGGATTTTTCAAAAGAAGCATCCGTAAACAACTTGGTTATGCGTGTAGAGGAAATCGTGATTGTGAAGTTACAAAACATCATAGGAATCGCTGCCAATATTGCCGTCTACAAAAGTGCCTTACCATGGGCATGCGGGCAGATTGTAAGTTACATATTTTCTTTCTTCTTTTCCACAAAATTTGTTATTTCGGAGTAATATTAATATAAATCAGAAATCACAGTTCGCGAGTAATTTGATATCCATTTTAAATTACTGTCTTAGGAAAAGGAGTTAAAAAAACTACTACTTTTATTTCAGCATACTTTGATAGCAAAATTTAATACTTTTCACTGTAATGTACTTACTTTGGATTTTGCTACGAAACGTTTCTGTTTTCAGTTTAAAAATATGTACATTTATTTCTTGTTATTAGTTTTGTTAGACCAACAGCTTTAAAAATTACTTTGGTTTACACGAATTTTGGAATTAATTTGCAATTGTTGGAAAGATCAGTAGTTCTAAATTATAGTCAGATGCTGAGAAGTAAAAAAGTGTACGCTATAAATTTTCATTCAAATGTTTTCAAAGTATTTTATACATAGCCACAAGCGGACGTTATCTGTTAAATCTGAATTTACGCGAAACAGCTGAGAACCCTAGTAACTCTAAATGAACTCGTCTTCTGAAGATCAGTTTTTAATGCAAATCATTTTCAAAGTTGCCAGGATATAGTTATTTTGCTTATAAGGTTACGAGCTGAACAAATCTCATAATACTTTGAAAGTGTAGAGCATCCCTCTTAGTAGTCTTATTCCGTATTACTGCGATATCCCATTAATGATATTTTTATCACTGATCCATATAACTGTGATATACGGAAAACCTCAGATTCCATTGATGATACTTCCATGTCCCAGGCAGAGAATTATGATAAGTCTGGCTCCGTCAGAATTCACTGGCGGCTCATTTTTGAACGCACCGTATGGCAGAGACAGCACTGAGCACGTAATTTTTATATGCGCGTCGATATCGCAACCGAAGGAGGGGCTTCGAACACAAAGTGAAGTGTCTTGAATATAGAAAAATGCTAAACACGTCTCCGAGTCCGATAAGGTTAATATTTATTTACATTTTTTGCATATCGAATTTCAGAAACAGAAAATCAGTCACTGTTCTTTTGATTTATCTGTGGCTTAGTGTTGCCATACTGGCGAAATAAAAATCGCAAGCGAAGATTTTCACAGATGACGCATCAGCATCGCAAATGATAGCGCCACACGGACCACAGACTTCTGCTGCTCTTGTGATGCTGAATCGTTGAAAGCTGTTTGTATATTATTATTTGTTTCATAGTTATCCGCAGTATTCTGCATGCATTTGAATTCCTTTCAAATTCATTTAACCAAATGATGAAATCTTCACAATTATTTACATTTGATGTAATTTCGCACTGGGAATGTTCAATAGAAATCGATCAAGAGCTTAAATTACGCCGGATCCCATGGGAACCCAGCTCTGGTACTTAACAATTTCTGAGGTAACTCGTGATTCTAGCTGGAGCGAACTGGAGCCCTAAATAAAGGAGCTCCTGCACTTCTTTTGCGTAAATGAAACACAATTTCAGCGGACAAATTTTATTTTAAAAATAAATATACCTTTAAAAATAAATATGCGATTATAACTTCATAATACATGCCTGTCTTCTGGGGAATAAACACTTTGACGGAGGTGTTAAGACTTTTAGGAGAGAAATTCCCCCATCCACATGTTAAAGGCTTATTCTCCAATGAATTTATGAGAGCAGGAAAAAGGTTTTATTCCTGAAAGTACTAAAAGTAGTTACTTTGGTCGTGCACGTCCGGTACTAGTGACCCCTCACTGCAGAGCTTTTGCAGACTCCAACTATGTAACCAAACAAGGGGACAAGAATTTTCACTTGTGCACACCTTACGTTTATTCTCATATTGTTACCGAATAGGATTCAGGGGAATTTTTTTTCCCCAGTTGCATTCTGCTTGACAGCTAGAATTTTATCGGCAGGGCATCGCGGTGAGAAAGCTTAAGACACTTCTCTGTTTTCTAAGCTACACTTCTCCATTAAAATTGTTTCCATGTGCTCATATTGTTTCTAGTAATCACTTTATTCTCAGTAATGACGCCTTAATTGAGTTACTTTTTTCACGGCGCTGAAAAAAGAATGGTTTTTGTTTCACTCATCTCTTGAAATAGTACGTTATACCGTATATTCACGACTTGAATGCAGCCGGAGGCCGACTAAGCTATTACTTAGTTTTCTGAACGAAATTTAAGTCTAGCCAGAACTCCAAATAAGATGCCCGTATTTTATTTAACTATTTATCATGAACTTGATAATTTATTAAATTTTTATTTATATGTTTATATTTTATTTAATTTTAATTTAATTATTTTAATTATTAGTCAATTTTATTATTAGTCCAAAGGGGCAATTGCCCAGAAGGGCTATTAATTTCGTTTTTGGCATTTTGCGTTGATTTACTATAAATAGCGAATCACTTTTTAAATTGTTGCCACCAAATATTAGATCCCTGTATTATATTTAAAGAAATTAAATAATTAAGAATCTGCATAAATGTAAGTATGTTTCTCGCACTGTGATAAAACAACGGTACCTAGACGTACGTACGTGTCCACCCGAATATGGACATCTGGAAGTCCGATTTTGGAATTTGTTTTATTATCTCTTTCATATTTTGTAAAGCATTTATAAATTTTTGATTAAAAAACTCAATGATTTGAAAGCGAGCAATGGCAACGCTGTGCAAGGGGGGGATTTTTTTTTATCTCCAGCACGCGAGACTGTGAATCGGAAACTCTAAAGATATGCTCTTTTAAATAATTCGTGAGATTGCTGTTGAATTAGATTTTATGGTTTAAGTGCGAAGAACATGATATTTAGTAAATAAAGAGTTACAAACGTTAAAAAAAAAGTCCCTTTAGGGCATATTATAAAAATCTGAAAGCTTTTAGATTTTTTATTCATTTATTAATTTTTTTTCCCGTTCTTCCTAACGGCCTTCCATAGGGCTCCGGTACTTCTGATTTTAGAAATTAAGCCCTGAATCGATCTACATTTTCAACCACCTTGCGTTAAGCCAACTCCTCCTAAACAGAAGGTATAGGTTAAAAGTGCAACAAAATGTCATGTGATACTACGGATATTACTGCTTTTCTACAAGCTCGTCCCTCAGTTACAATATGAATGTGCAATTCTGGCCGGATTTCAAAAATCCTAGCCCTGATTTTGGGCTTCAGCTGTGCCCCTTTGATGTGTATTAGTATTCCAAAATATCGAACTTCTTATTCAGCCCTTTACGTCAATTTCTGCTGCATTAAATTTAAGGCTATGTTAAATCTTGAACCCATCTTTTAGTAATCGCTAAGAATTTTTTATTCCGGACTTTTTTTAGCTATTGGAAACAAGATACCATATTTTCTGGAAATTTCCAAAAATTCTCAAACCTCCCCCCCACACACACACGCACACAGATTACCAGTTAAAATGACTGCACTAGTAATTAATAAATAGAAAATTATTTCGTATGAGTTTCTCCTATACTTGAGATTTTTTCAAAATATAAACTGTATAATAAATGCAAACCATTTTAGCCAAACTTTATGCATACATTGCGATTTTAATTTTCTTTTGATTTATGTAAAATATGTATATTATCCTTAAAATACTCGGGCATTTAACATTTTTATGATATTAATGTTATTTTGTATAAAAACTAAAAGCATGTTAATTTAAAAAGGAAGCCAAAAGAAGCAAATAATATGATAATGCTGTACAAAACTTTGACAAAAATGTAAATGGTCTGCATATTCATTATAATTAAAACTGTTTTCGGTGATAAACATAAACTTTGAATAAGTAATTTCAGCATACAGCATTTATTAGTAGTTATTAATAGCATTGACTTTTTTTCCAAAATCTTAGGCGGAGTGGTTAAGTCATTGAACACTGGATTTGATTCCAGTTGAATGGGCTGGCTGCATGGGCGTTTTCATGGGTTTTGCCATTTGTAACATGTATGCGATCCAGTTTCCCGTAGAAAGACCTCCATGAAGGCATGCCTCCCCTTAAGCAGATAGAACTAGTGTGCTTTGCCATAATCAGAGTAGAAGAAAAGACTATGAAATCTTAATAAAAGAAGATCTTTTTCTATGAAAGTTCTCAGCTTGAAAATTCATTGAGTAGATGACCATCTCTAACTAAAAAGAATGTATTTTATTTACTTTATTTCCTTTTTTTTTGCATGGTCAGCTACTACTTTTCTCACCTCATATGGTGTCTTACCAATTCTTTTAAATTTTTGCCTTTTTCTTATAAATCTCAGTATTATTTGTTTGTATATTAATTTTTGTTTATCTTAAATTTATCTTAATACAGTCTTTTCTAAATCTTTAAATAGCTGTGCAGTCAGAGAGGAAGCCAGCAGATTCAAGAGAGAAACCTATTACTCCTCCAATGGCAGCAAGTTCTCAAAGAATTTATGTACGTAAGGATTTACGCTCTCCTCTTGCTGCTTTGCCAACATTCAGCTCAGATAAGGTTTGTTTCCTTTATGTCTTGGCCCTCCGAATCACAACCCATCTTCACTTTCCTGAACAAGAACGAATTTTTTAAGCATCATTTCTTTCTCAGTTCCCTTGTAAAGTCCTTTTGCCCTTAATCTTCGGAGCTTGCTATGATGATGAAATGTGCTTGCTTCATTTTTCAATCTCAAATTAACAACTTGCATCTTTTTGCATAATTGTAATGTTATAATTTGCTGTAATTTCATGTGGTATGCATAGAATGTTTTTCATTCATTAGCTGAACTTTATGTTTCTCTTCTGGTATTCTGCAGAAGTTTAGAAAAAGAAGTTTTAACTTTTCTAATAAAAAGCTAGTAGCTCGCAACTTAATCAGAAGAACTTTTGAAAAATGTCTCTGGAACATGATGTTTGGAAAAATGTCTATGGTCTAGAAAAATCAAGAATTTTCCCTTTATGTTTGAAATTCTTCATGTGCAATGATTTGTTGGAATAACATAAGACTGTCGACATTTACTGCTTGAAAAAAAATTATCACTGTAAAGAGTCTGTTTGTGGTTGATGTTTGAATCTTAAAATTTGAATAATATGAAGTATTTTCTGTGAACTCACTGTAGGTGGTTTTCATTGTTATTATTACATAATGCAATTACTTGCTACCTTTAGCTGCATTATTCAAGAAAATGAAATTTTTTTAAGCTCTGATACTTGTGTTTCGTATATTACAAGTTAATAATAAGACATAACACATTTCAAACATTTCCTTTTTGTAGGGCATAGCACCCAATAATTACAACATTTCAAATCATCTTACTCTCGCAGTCTGAGGTTGTAAAACATTGTAATTATAATTGAATGCTTTTATATAGTAAAAGCTTGTTTATCTGGAAAGCTTGAGAAAGGCCGCATGAAGAAAAACTCCATATAACTGAGCATATAAAAGTGAAGTTTCTGGTAGAAAACCCAGCTGAATAGATATAATTTTTGAAACTATAAAATGTAAAACTATAAAATCGGTCGTCCTATTTCTTATCAAAGTAATGAATGATGTCAATGAATCAATAAGGGTGTTTAGGAATTTTTTACTAATGCAAAAAGCCATTTTTGAAAATTAAATATGTAAAATCGCAATTCTGATCATTATTAACAGATGACCATTTGGAAATAACTAATGGTAAGAAGTACTAATTTCAAACTCCAGTATGATGAAATATTATCTCAGAAAAAAACAGTTATATTCTTCACATATGAAATATTAATCTAATAATAACATTTTCAAATATGTAAATATTTTATTCATTTTTTGTAAGTAATAGTAAAATATGTATAAATATTATATAAAAGTATCACTTCGTTATTAAAAAAATGAACCTTTTTTTGCCTTATGAGAAAATTACCTGTTCTTATCTTCATCTTTGATACTTGGTCCACTGAGCCTGAGCCTAAAAGTTGTACAGTGTGGCCTTTCCTGAAAAGAGTTTGCCGACCCTTGTGTTAGAGGATCTTCATTTATGCATCATAAATTAAAATCCGTCTTGTATATGAGTATGTATTCTTGTATATGAATCTTGTATACTTCACCTAGAATAGCAACTAGTTGCACAACTACAGATTATTCCCAAGGAAATGATCAAGTAGAGAGGTATTATGGAATCATATGGAAAACCATACAGCTAGCACTAAAATCAAAGAAAATTGCATTGAGAAGCAATACAATTTCCTTTGATTTTAGCTATCGAGCATTGGAGAAGGAATTCTAACAGTCTGTTTTACATTCGATCCACTCACTTTTAATGCACAGCAACAACTGTCACACCACATGTATGTTCATTCATGCTAAAAAAACTTGCAATGAATACTCTTTACCTGCTTTTTTAACACAACCTGGAACAATATATATCATTAACACTATACCGACTGGGCAGCACTATCCCAGTTGGCATATAGTGGTCAGGGAAGCTGATTGCGATGCCAAAGGGCCTGGGTTCAAATCCCGTAGAAGGCATGGTTGTAACTGTCTGTCCCTTCATAGGAAAGGCGATGGTGGCCCACCTATTAGGTGCCTCCATAATAAAGAGACCACCATATCCGGCCTTGTATAGATTAATGGACTGGGTTGCATTTGTAATTGTTCATAATCTGCTATTGGCCAAAAAAAAAAAAAGTGCAGATAGTTCTAAAGATGAGTTAGGTTGCTGCTTATTGCAGAACGGGCAACCAATTGCTTTTCCATCTAGGAGTTTGAATAATGCAGAGGAAAAAACTATGCTCAGATTGAGAAAGAATTTCTTAGTATTTTATTTGCTGTTAATAAATTTCACTATTACATTTATGGTAGAGAGGTAGGAGTGCTTACTGATCATAAACCATTAGTTTCAATTATGAACAAAAATATTGCTAATGTGTTATTAAAATAGATTGCAAAGGATAAAAATTAAGCTCTTAAAATACAACTTTAAACTTAAATACTTGCCTGGGAAATATATGCATATTGCAGATTTACTGTCATGTTTCTTTATTGAAACACACGGAATAAGCATGAATGAAAACATGGATATGACAGAGATTGTTCATACACTAACAAAACAACTTCAAATGTCTGAGAGTAAGAAAAGAGAATTTCAGAAAGCTAAATTAGAAGATGAAGGGTTAATGTTAGTGAAAGAATATCGGCAAAAGGGATGGCCTTTGAGGGTTGATAGAGTTCCTAAAGAAGCAAGATCTTATTTTAAATTTTAAAATGAGTTGATTGTTGAAAAGTTTTTTTTTTTTTTTTTTTTTTTTTTTTTTTTTTTTTAAATAATTGAATTGTAGTACCTGTTGCATTAAGGAAGTGTATGTTAACATTATTGCATGAAGCTCACTATCTGCATGTATAGTGATAGGTTTACTGCTATCAAATATTCTGAATACAGGTGCATCGGAAATTAATTTTTTTAATTCCCTGAATGCTTTAGAATGTAGCTGTAACCACTGCCATTCTACTTTGTTTTTCAAAAGTTCCCTTAATATGGCTGTTTTCTCTGAAAAATGTGGTGCAAATTTCCTTAAATAATTATACATTCCCAAAACACGCTGTAATTCATGCTTATTCTGAGGTTCCTGTAACTCAGTAATGGCTTTAATTCGATCAGGATCAGGTCGCATGCCTGATACATTTACTAAATGTCCTAAATATTTAACCTCACTAACCCTATATTGAAGTTTTTGCTTGTTGAATTTGAGTTTTTTAGCTCTGTTGATGACCTCTGTTAAAGTTTTTTCATGTTCTTGTACGGTGCTAGCAGCAATGAGGATGTCATCAAAATAGATCAATACTCCTGGTATATTATCAAAATTTTCAAGATAGCATTTCTGAAAAATTTCAGGTACACAGGAAGTACCCATTGGAAGCTTTAAGAATTTATAGCATTCAAATGATGTGCTAAAAATACAAAGATCACTACTATCCCCATCTAATGCTATTTGAAAAAAACCCATCCTTTAAGTCCAAAACAGAGTAAACTGATTTATTACATAGCTTTGGTAAAATCTTCTCAGTGGTTGGAATCAACACGTTCTCTTTTTATAGCTTTGTTAAGATCTTGAGGATCCATTAGCTTTTTCAATTATTACTAGATTGCTAACCGAGTTTAAGGTTGATCAACTTTTGTAATAATGCCCTATCTCTCTAATTCGTTTAATTTTAATTCAAGTTTAGGTTTTAAACTAAGTGGTACTCTACGTGGTGGTCTCACTACAGGAGCTATCTGATCATCTACTATGATTTTACACAATCCATTAAATTTTCCCACACCTTCAAACACTTCTGAATTATTAATAATAAATTGATCTTTAGATGGAGGTAAAACAATTGTATACTGATCCAACTTACCTTTTTATTTGATATTCCAACCTTATTTTTAAACTGAATCAAATTAAGTTTAACACATGCATCAAGTCCTAATAATGGACGTATATGCTTGCTAGAAACAATTAAAAACTCTAAAGGATGATCCTCACCATCTGAGGAACATTGTAAAATCAACAACCCATCAGGTTTAACCTTGGACCCCCCAAATGCTTCTAATACAACATTACACTTGTTTACAATAAGATTAGAGTTCTTAGCACTCAATGTTTCATAAATTTTCACAGGCAAAACATTCACTTCAGACCCTGTATCCAACTTAAAGGTCACACTTGTCCCTTCAACAATTGTAGTTTTAGTCCACTCTTTTATAGACAATGTTGAGCATACATTTTTAGTTTTTTGGACATTTATGGAATTCACGAAGAATTCATCATCAGATTCACTATATACATCTGCGTTATCATGCTGAGAAACATTTTGGACGTGTTTCTGTCGAAAAGTGATTAAGTTTGCCACAATTAAAGCATCCGTTTGCCAGGCATTGTCCATTAACGTGATGTCTGTTGCATTTTTTACACAAAAACGTCTCAGTATTTGAAGCATCATCACACCATCCTCTGTGCTTCCTCACTGCTACGGCTGCATTGGCTCCTCCTGCCTGTTGTTGCTTCACTTTCCCTCTAGTTATGCTGTCAACATTGTGTTCTCTTAACGTTTGAGCACAAGCTTTGCTCACTTGAGCAGCTTTCCCTAAATCAACTGCTTTCTCCAAACTCAGATTATTTTCTCCAAGCATCTTCTCCTGTAAACTGGTATCTGATACTCCAAGGACAATGCAATCGCGTATGACAGAGTCACTCTGCTCACCAAATTCGCAAGATTTTTACCACTTTTTTTCAGGTCAGTTATGAAACAATCAAAATGTTCCCCTTCTTGTTGTTTTCTTATTGAATAAAAATCTCTCCACCACGACATTTGTTCTAGGCATTGTGAAAACTTCAAACCTTTCAAGCACTTTTTCATAGTTGCCCTGATCTTCTGTTAAAAGATTGAGTGTGTTAAACACTTCAACTGCTTCCTCACCAGCAGCATTTAAAAATAAAGCA